TACGTTGGAGAGGAGGGAAGGCCTTCTCCACTTCATAACTGTTAAGACTATTCTCCAGACCAAGCCTGGTGGCTCACACCTATAATCCCAGCACTTTAGGACGCTGAGCCAGGAGGATCACTTGAGGCCAGGACTTTGAGACCAGCCTGGGCAGCACAGTGAGACCCCATCTCTACAAAAAATAAAAACTATTCTCCTATTCTTTCCTCTGGTACTTTTAGATTTTCTACATTTGGGTTTCTCTCTCTCTTTTTTTTTCTTTTTGCCAAACACAGGTGTCTGAAACATTTGGGTTTTTAAATCTTTCCCTGTATGTGTTATGAAGCAGAGATCTAATTTGTATTTTCTTAAATGGATAGCAAATTGGACTGAAATTCTTTTTTGAATGGTCTCTTCCTCAGAATCACATTGCTTTTATTATTGTAGTTTTATAGGACCTTTTGATACCTAGTAGGACCTTTTGATATCCTTATTCATATTTATTTATCAAAAAAATCCTTGGCTAGTCTCAGTTTTCTCTTTCAGATGAATTTTTGAACCAGCTTTCCAATTTCCAGCGGAAATTCTTCTTGGATTCTGATTGGCATTGCATTACGTTTTTATTAATAGATGGAAAGAACTGGCACCCTTAAATATTGACTCTTCCTTAGGAACATCGTGTGTTTCTTGTTTATTCAGATCTTTTTATGTCAAAGACTCCTGTCAGCCAGTGTGGTGGCGCGTGCCTGTGCCCAACTATTCAGGAGGCTGAGGCCGGAGGATTGCTTGAGCCCAGGGGTTCGAGGCTGTAGTGAGCCATGATGATGCCATTGCACTCCAGCCTGGATGACAACACAGCGAGGCCCGTCTCCAGAAAAAAAAAAAAAAGACTGTAGTCAATTCATATTTTTCTTTGTAGAGAAAAATGCTCATTTTTGATGCTGACTAAAAAACCATGTTGAGACCCAGAAATGTGGGACAGCAGTGTGCTCTTGTGCTCTTTCGGCACAGCATCCAGGCTCCACTTATCCTGGTATCTAAGAGACCAATTTATTCTTATTAGCTCAATTAAATTTACTAATATTTCATTTGCGTTGGTTTCACTGATAAATGAAATAAGGAGATTCAAGTGAAGCAGAAAATGAGAAATCATGCAATGACCATTAAAGCTGTCTTTTCACATATTTCTTTTGAAAACTCAAATCAGCACTGACTGGTGGGAATTACAATCTTGCACGTTTTATTTATATATATTTGAGACAGAGTCTCGCTTTGTTGCCCAGGTTACAGTGAGTGCCATGGCATCAGCCTAGCTCACAGCAACCTCAACTCCTGGACTCAAGCAATCCTGCTGCCTCAGCCTCCCGAGTAGCTGGACTACAGGCATGCGCCACCATGCCCGGCTAATTTTTCTATATATATTAGTTGGCTAATTAATTTCTTGTATTATAGTAAGAGCGGGTCTCGCTCTTGCTCAGGCTGGTTTCAAACTCTTGACCTCGAGCAATCTGCCCGTCCCGGCCTCCCAGAGTGCTAGGATTACAGGCGTGAGCCACCCGCGCCCGGGCTCACATTTTAGTATGCAGCCATATCTATATATAGAAACATCTAAGCATACAACACTCTTAACTTTTCTATGAATCATGCATAACAGGTTAGTGTATTTTAAAATTCTTATATGTAATTTGAATTTATGATCACTAGTCTTCATATATATTTTAACTAGAATTTTCAAAGGGTAACTGGGCTTTCAGAGATAAAATTTAGTATTATTTGCACTTATGAATTAAACCTAAAACACAACAGTTATCTTTACAGTAAAAGATGTAAGAAACCACTTAAGGACTTAACGAAAGCCATATTCTAACAAAGTACCTACAGCCAGACTTTGCAAGTGAGAGTTCTCCATTAGAATGCTCAACATAAGGTTAAATTAAGTGTAGTTTTAAAGGCTTTCCTCAATAATATATATTGGAAAGGGGGGTAAAATCTGCCAGGACCCTAGATATTGTAAGCTCTGAAAATCACTCAGGAAGAGAAGCAAACGTTTCTTGAGTACTACCCACTGGCCACTGCATTATCCATTCTGACCCTCGGAAAAAGTATTATCACAGCTCCAGTTAAGCCCTCTTACTGTGTCCTTAGCCCGTTCTGTGGCAAGGTCACGTCATTTGCAAACGAGAGGCAGGGGAATGGAGCAGATGTGCCACTCTCTAATGCAGATCCGCATTTGCACCATATCCAGAGCATCTCAGATCCCCGTGCAACCCCAATTCCTTCCATCGTTAATCACAGCACTGTACACTTCCACACCCTCGGAAAAATCTCAAACACCCAAACGCTTTTGTGGAATCAGCATCTGTATGGTAATAGGTGATTCTAAAGGTAGGACTAGCCACGTTGGAATCTTAAAAAAATAGCGGCTTCTTGTTAAATTGAATCTGTTATCCAACCCTGACAAAATGTGTAAAACTCCAAAGTTAGATGAACATTTTTTTACTCCTAATACAAATATTTTTTCTTCTGTATTTTTCCTCTTTTAATTTTATGTTTATGCATACTATTTTAAAAATACTCATCACTTGATTCAGAAAATATGGATGGGGCAGGATTGGCAGTGGGAGGTTGGCTCCTGGGACTGGCTGACTGGTACAAGGGGCCTCGGGATACTGCACAGCTTTGGGCCATGGGCAGTATCATCCCTGAGAAAGAGTAATTACAAAAACTGTAATGGCCAAATTATGGCATTGCCACACAATGAACTATTAAGCAAGTATTAAAACATTTACAATTTAAAAAAAAACACCCAAATATATGTGAAGATAACATGTCTAAAATAATTACTTTTGCTTGTGGGATTAGAGTGTTTCTTACTTTATATTTTTCAGGGTTTTAAAAGACATAGCCTAATTTTCATGATCTCAAAATAAAACAAATTGTTATGAATTAATGACCTACTTTCCATCACCTACTGAAACATAATATTTAGAAACTTTCCACTGTCTTTCAATTAAGTATTTTTATTGCAAACTCATGAACAACTGGGGATTATGATAAGCAGATATATCTTTAGATGTACCTGTATGGATTAGTAGAGATTACTCATTTTAGTTTCACAAAGCTTGTTTTAATGGAAAAAGTCTAAATGTTTGACAAATTATATGTTCTTGAAATAAAATACTGTTCAGTGCTTACAAATGCCATGTAAGTATATTCATTGACATGAGAGAAAACTCAGAGATAAAATTACAAAATAGGATGTATTAATATAACCACACCACTTTTGTATAATCATGTAATCATAGAAAAGGACCTGAGGAAAATGCATCTTTAAATACCTATTTAAATAGTTGTCTAAGTAAGTGAATGAAAGTGTGTTTAGCTTGTTTGAATTTCCTGAGTTTCTTTTCTGGTATGAACTGCTCCCGTACTTCAATTATACACACATATTTCTTGTCCCTGCACCTGCCCATCTCCTCAACTCCCCCAAAACACTTACACACACCTCCCAAACACTGCTACAACAGAGCACAATTTTCCCCTGGGGCCTCCATGATCATTGTGAATCCAGGTACTAAGTACCAAGATCTGTGCCTTAAATCCCGATTAACCCACATTTGAGATAGGTCAAGTTCAACCTTTGAGAAACAAAGAAAAGAGAATGCAGGGTTCTTGTTAACTGGTTTTTCTAATTAACCAATTAAAGATGGATCAGCTTGTACCATTAAGAAGTTATCTTCCTTATACTTTTAGGATGTCTGATATTGATATGTCCAGCCAACCATTCTCATTGTGCAGATGAGAACTGAACTAGCTATTGAACTAGCTGTTTAAAGGGGAAGAAATTGACTTTCTGCTAAGTACTGATCCCAGAAAATACACCACAAGGTGGTATATTTTTTTGAAAAGTTAATTGTTTTTCTCGACAACTGAAGAGAACCTCCAGTTGATGGTTCATTTTATAAGATGGGAGATGTATAGGAAAAAGGACAACATACAACCTTGGGGCTAGCAAACACCTGAATACTTGGTCAGATACATAACAAAGCAAGTAGGATCTTGAAGGACTTCCATTTTGACACCCTTACCTGTTATACTTTTTTGAGAAAAACTAATCATTTGTTTAAATATATTAGTAGCAATGAGTTCAGAACTGAGAAAATCTTTGATTTGTAAACATTTATCACCACTCCCAGGGGTGTGTAGTACAACTAAATCCTGAAAGATCAGTCATAGGGTTAAAATTCATTAGGTTCTTCCCTTTCCCACTAGCTTTTAGATGTCTCTTTTAACTGCTACAAATAGACATGTGCTAGACAAATTCTGGTACCAAAAAAATTGCATAAGGGAGAGGAAATGTTTCCGTTCAATGTTTTAAATTTACATATCTAAAAACTCACCTATTCTGCCTACACTTAAAAGCAAATTGGTTTATCTATTTCAGGAATCCATAATAAAATGACCCCGAGATCAACTGGGGCACCTGGCCTGCGGTCCTTTCCCACCCAAGGTTGTCAAAGCTCTTTGGTGCCCGTTCACCCCATGCTGCTGTCCTTGCATAGCCTCACTATTCCCTACAAACTGCTCAGTGGTCCTTGCAGAGATCTGTGATTCCCCTAGCACTCTGTTTAACATTCTTGCCTACTCATCAGTCCATGGACAAAACAACACATGAAGTGTAGAGAAGCCTGAATTGTTTCAAGGTCACCCCCTTTACAGATAACCTTGGCAAGGTCCTTTCCCTGGCCCAGTTTTCACGTTTGCCTAATTGGCAGTTGCCCTATACCTCTGAAGACTAGAGGGCAAAATGGAAATATACAATGAATATGAATGCAAATCTGGAAAAAAAGTTTACCTCATATGAAGGAAGAGCTGATAATTATGTATTTACTTTGCTACTGGACACTGGACTGTTTTTCCATTAGTAAACCAAAAGTCACAAGCAACTTCAAAGGACATGGACATTCAAGTACAGTGATGCACAGAGTAACTTTTCAGTCAACAATGAACAGCATATTCAATGGTCCCATAATTCTGTGTTTTTATTATACTTTTTCTATGTTTAGATACAGCTGCCTACGGTTTTGAAGCAGTAACATGCTGCATAAGTATGAAGCCTAGGAGCAATAGGCCCTACCATACAGCATAGGTGTGTAGAAGGCTACACCACCTAGGTTTGTGTTAAGTACACTGATATTTACACAGGACAAAACTGCCTACCAATGCATTTCTCAGAATATTTCCCAGTCATTAAAAGTGATGCATGACTGTATTACAGAAAAATTCAATATTTTACTCTTTAAAAAAACTTTGGAAGACCAAATGGGGAAATTCTCAGAATAAAATTTAAGCCAGAACTTAATCCATGTGCTTCAAAATATTCTTTTGTAATTGAGATTTTATTGGTTGAGGATCAGTACAGACATTTCAAATTGTACACAATTCTTAACATACGTACCGAAAATCTAAAAAGCCATTTGTTTTCATTCTTTTTAAAAGTTATTCCAGTGACTTTCCAGCTTAAAATTTGGAGACAAATTTTCCTTAAGAGGGTATCAAGTACCTGTATCTTCAAATGTTGATAAGCTGTTACATAAGTCCCACCAATTCACAATTTATTATCATATATACTACATACTCAAATTTTCAATCTTTCACAGCACATTAACAAAGTTATTAGAAAAACAGGACTACCACGACCAAAGATGTTACAGAATATATGCAATTCTGACAGAGACAGCCATGATCAAGGAGTGGTTTTCTTTAGGAAACAAGTCTACTAAAAAACATGGGAATAGAAGTAATTTAAAATGTTCAAGACATTAAATGCAGGCCTGGGACTCCATATTGCCATTTAGTATGCTTTATATTATAGGATATAAAAACTAACCCCCATCTATGGAATGTTAAGCTGACACCCAAGACAGTCAAAGCCTCCCATAATTCAATATCCCACACTATTTTCTGGTTGTACCAAAAAATAAACAACCAGCAAATGATTTCACCTCTTAAAAAAAATCATTTACACTTAAAAAATGGGATGAGGTGGGATTCCCTCCTTCTTAAAAATGTTTCTAGAGCTACTAAAAAACTTGCATTTACAAAATAGTTGATAAAAATATTCCTCTGGATTGTACAAGAAGGGAGACAGGGACCACTGATAAGACATGGTATATGATATTAATCAGACTTGACTTCTTTCTCTCCTGCTTCATCAGAGGCTGGACTCTGCAAATCAAAGGAAAATTAATGATCAAATATTTGATTTGTCATTGCTATCCAGCTTTGAGATATTTAGCATTTAACACAATGTAGGTCTTATTTATATAACTTATTAGGTCTTCAAAAGGTCTATCCTCATTATTTGTAGATTCTGTACTTGCAAATTCACCCACTCTTATTAAAATATTTTTGTAACCCCCACATCAGTACTCATGGCACTTCCATAGTCATTTGTGTATACAGAGCAGGAAAATAAAGTGAGTTGCCCCACATGTACATTCCCCCACTGAGATTATTCTTTCTTCTTGTTTAAGTTCAAATACTGTAAACAAGTATCTTTTCTTTAGTCTATTCAGTGTCCCACATTTCACATCTTTGTGCTTTCTGTTGATAATTTTGCTGTTTAAAATAGCCCCAAACACAGTGTCCCAGTGCTATTTAGTGTTGCTAAGAGCAAGAAGGCTGGGATGTGCCATATAGAAAACATACATGTATTGGATAGCTTTGTTCAGGTATGAATTACAGTGCCGCTGGTTGAGTTCAATGTTAACAACATACACTAAATGAGGTATCTCTAAACAGAAACACACCTATGACAAAGTTATGTACTGATCAGTTGATGAAAACATTGTGGCTACAGGCTTGCAGGAACCCACTCCCCCAGGTGCGATAGTTCTGTATTTGTGGCAACCTTATAGAATGTACCTACAAATAAGGACAATTAACTGTAATGTGATGACAATATGTATTACAAGGTCAAGTTCTTCCTTCATAATTGGAACTAGACTGATAGTATCTTAATATCACACAATGTTTGATAAGTAGTTAGAACTATGAAGTAAAAAGTTGACATAAATTTCCTAATTGAGGATTAGTTGATCACTTAAGAATGTAATCTGTAAGTATCAAAGTTTAAAAATTAATACCCTAAATTACTTATCTTTTATGGCTTAACCAATACAACAAACAAAATAAAGGCTTGGAAGAAAATCAATAATTAGCCAGGTATGGTGGTGCATTCCTGTAGTCCTACCTACTCTGAAGGCTGAGGTGGGAGAATCATTTAAGCCCAGAAGTTTGAGGTTGCAGTGAGCTATAGTCACACCACTGCACTCCAATGTGAGCTACACAGCGAGATCCTGTCTCTATTTTTAAGAAAAAGCTTCTAGGCTTGTATGAGTGCAGTGGTTTTACAATTAATTGATCACAACTAGCTCAGATTTCTTTGCTCCTTCTCCACTTCCACTGCTTCACTTGACAGAAAAAAAGAAAAAGCTTCTTTCCCCCATAACTTTAAATGAATGAAGATCAATGACACCAGTGTTTATCTGCTTGATCTAGGTTATCACTTAGCCCTGTATAAGTAGCTATTTTAAAGAAAAATACACACAAGAACATTTTCTTGATCAGAAATGAAAGTGGGAAAAATATGGCAAGCACAATACAAACAAGTGGAATGGATTCAAAAAAATTTTTTTAGGCCAGGAGTGGTGGCTCATGCCTGTAATCCTAGCACTCTGGGAGGCGGGAGGATAGCTCAAGGTCAGGAGTTTGTAACCAGCCTAAGCTAGAGCGAGACCCCGTCTCTACTAAAAATAGAAAGAAATTAGCTGGGCAACTAAAAATATATAGATCAGAATCCATAGGAACATGTAAGGAAATCAAAAGAAAAAATAATTTTTTTTTAATTAAAAAAATAATAAAAATATATAGAAAAATTAGCTGGGCACAGTGGCACATGCCTATAGTCCCAGCTACTCAGGAGGCTGATACAAAAGGATTGCTTGAGCCCAGGAGTTTGAGATGGTGTGAGCTAGGCTGACGCCACAGCACTCTAGCCTGGGCAACAGAGTGAGACTCTTTCTCAAAAAAAAATTTCAAACCAATATCCAAAATATCAATACAAAACAAAGATTCAAATATATCCGAAATCAAATATATTAAAATTTCTTGTTTGTTCACTTAATAAAGAAGCCACTTACGTATACTTTCAAATGAGACCTAATTCACAGAAAATAATCTGTCTACTTTGGGATACTGTACAAAACTTTGTGCAATATTATAATGAATAAAAACTATCTGCTACACAAAAATACACAATTTAATATCTGTTCATAGTCAAAACCAGTAACAAAAACACTTCTGACCTCCTCAGTTTTAGTTTCTCCATTCTCTGCAGGTAAATCTTCTTTAGTTTCTTGGTTAGCCACTTCGGCCTGTTTTCCCTTTGCTCCCCTTTTCCCTTTTGGTTGCACTTTTTTGTCTGAAGATTTATCCTATGATAAAATAAGAGTATATTTTAAGTATTAACTTTATCCTTACTTACATTTTCTAACTTTGTATATAGATTGTATCCATGATAAGTGCCATGTTAATGTTTTATCACACACCAACACATAAGCCTGAGATAAGTGACATATCTTTTACAGGAGATAACTTATAGGCCACCCCTAGTAATCAGGAAAACAACGTATGCTAAGGAGATTGTAATAGTGCTTCCACGTCAAGCCTCATTAGACATATGACGATAAGTCCTAAAGCCTGAGCTACATTTCACCACCGTCGCCATCATATACGGTCTACAGTTCCATACAACACCACAAATAAGCTAGAATACTGGAGAATCTCTTCCACTGTATCCCTACTCATCCCCAAATTTCTTTTAAGTACCAACAATAATCAAACTACCGTCATTCTGACAAGACTTTTACCCTCACATTAAGACCTCATACCTGAAAAAACCATCATGCTGTATGGTTTGGCTATCCTGCTACAGGTAATCCCTTAATATAATGAGTAGCTAAAAGGATCTATTTTGAATTCATCATTTGCATTTATGTATTTGAAAAATCTGAAAAGCACAGGAATGACAATATGAAGTCCAAAATCTAAGCCATTTTAAAGCAATATAAAACAACACTTTTGGACACCATCCATCAATGGTAAGGAGAAGCTTAATATTAAGCTTATTAACAAAAGCTTAATATTTATTCTCTGTAAATAAAAAATGTAGCAACAGCTAAATTAATTCACCAGCAGGTGGTATAAAAGTCCGCTATGGGACCAAGCAATTACTCAGTTAAGAGCCATAAAGACATATAGATCTCACAATTTCAATACTAAGGATGGGAAAAAAAAATCACAAGGTAGTCTGTATCAACAGTGGCATTCCGTATATAAACACAACACGATGACTTCTAATAATCCTGCATCTTTTGGATAAATAACAAATTATATAAACAAATATATTTGAGATAACACTGTTACACACATTGTTACTATGAAGTGTCACAACTGGTTCTGAACTCAAGAACTGTTCTTTTGTAATCTGGTTTTTAGAGGTTTTTCATTAATTTCATAACCACTATCTCAAGAAGAATTAAAAACCTGAAAAAAGTTAAAATAGAATATGTAATAGCCTGGACTTGAAATAATACCATTTGCAACCATTAACAACCTGTAAGCTACATGAAACAAAATAAATCAGTTTCCTAAGTATAATGTTTCAACTTTCAAAATATTTACTTCTAAGGAAATGATACAAGTCAGAAACACAGTATTACAGATATGCTTTGAAAACAATATTTCTACTGGGAAGTGTAATACATCAAATGTTTACCTTTTGTTTAAGGCTTTAAATTAAGCCTGATTATGAAGACAAAGGCAGAAACTAAAAGTAAAAATAAAAGGAAAAAACCCTCTTCCCATTTTTCCTTTGGAAAGGCTGAACTGGTTGATTCCTCCAGAACACGGACACAAAGACTTACCTGTTGGCCTCTCAGAGGAAGAAAGAAAAATGATGATTTAGTCTGATGTCCCATACCTATTGGGGGAAACTTTAACTGCTTTCACTTAAAAATTTATTTTATAGCAGATCAAGATGAACAAAGGCCGGAAAGGAAGAAAATTCTAAGAGGAAAACAGGCAAGTATTTCAGAGACTTGGTTTATAAAAAAGCAAAGAATCAAAAAAGACAAGTATAACACAAAAAGTTATATGCCAAGATTTTGCAACACGGCTGGTTAATTTTTTAGGCCTTCAGGAAGTTTCCGCAGTACTCGGACTGTGTACAGAGAATTATTGCATTGTCCTCTGGTGTGAGAAATTCTAAGTTGATATACTACACCTACACCTTGCTTGAACCTTTATTTTTAAAAGGATCACAAAAACGAAACTTTTTGTTTAAGAAAACATAGTTAAGGTTTTTACACTCAGCTCTATAGGTTTAAATAAAAAAAGAGAAAAAAACCTGTTGTTTTATACCTTCATTTAGCAACAACAAATCTAATAGTTACCCAAGAGGTCCAAGTATCAAAAATATTGTCGTGCCTCTTTTGATTATTATGCAGTGCTTACACTTCCACCTACACTTTTAGGAAAGATGTGATGGCATTAAGAATTTCTTTTTTTCTTTTTTTTTTTTGAGGAGACTTCAAAGAGCAAACTCTCATCTAAGTTTTGACTGGAAAGAACATGAAGAACATACAGAGCTCTCCAGACAGTGGTTTCAATGCTATATTCAAACACAAAGTTTACAAATGTCTTACAGACATTCTGCTTTTCTAAACAAGTTATCAAACACACATACACTCAAGAACAACTTCGTTCCAAAGACCTGCAATCTGATTCACGCAATCATGAATTCATTCTGGAGCAACAACCATCACGTTTTTCACAACTGTAAATAAAATACTTCCAGAACACTGATATTTATGTTCTCGAAGAACCCACATCTTGATCTCAGCGACCGGCACCCCAAGTAGACCCCCTATCTTCACTTGGGAACTGTATATATAAAAACCTGCACGTTCCCTTTCCCCTGGCCTCAGCCCTAACTTGGCTCTTTCATTGTCAAGAGAGGAAGTACAAGCATGCAATGAAAGGACACGCACCAACCATAATGCACACACACTACAAAGAGTAAATTCCTTTTGTAGGCTTAAGTTAATATTTACTATTTTTTGTCATCTTTTTTTTTTCCCATTTCAGGTCTTTTTAATAAACAAATCTGTCGATAGTTCCAAGCTACAACAGCAGCCTATTTGTTTTTTTTTTTTTTTTGGTCATCTTAAGTTTACTAACTTCTGCAGCAGCTTAAATGTGACACATCGCATCCACATAAGCCAGGATAAGTACAACCATTGCACTTTACCCCGCCAGAAGAAAAAGTTACTAAAATGCAAAGAAAATCCAAAGAGATAAGTAAAACAAAATAGTCACGTATTAAGTAACCACGCAGCCTAAGACACACTGCATCTCAAGGTGAGTTTTGAAGCCTACCTTTGCTGCTGCCTTTTTGGGCTTCGCCTCCACCTTCGCAGGAGCAGGTTTCTGAAAGGCAAGAGCAGCACTCAGTGCCCGCGCCGGGACGGCCGGGGAGGACGGCGGGCGGCGGGCTCGCCTTACTTACCGCTGACAGCCGCGCAGATCTCCTCTTGGGCTGGGGAGAGAGAAAGGACAGTCAGCGGGCGGGCGGGCCGTCCACGCCACCCGCCCCCGGCCGAGGCCCCGCGCGCTCACCTACCTCCTCCTTCACCGCGCCTTCGGCCGAGCTGACCTGCGGGGAGAGGCACACGGGCGGATGGGCGCGACCTGCACACAAAAGTGGCCCCGCGCTCGCCCGCCCGCCCGCGAGAACAATGCCCGGCCGCGTGACGTCAGCGGCTTCCCGCCGCCCCGTTCGAATCGCCCCCGCGGCGGCTCCGGCCGCCGGAACGTTCCAGAACGATCCGCCGCGCCGCCGCGCGGCCGCCGCCTCCGGCGCTCCGGCCAGCGCGCGTGGCGCGGGCTGCGCGCGCGGGCCGGCGAGGCGGCGCGGCGGCGGGCGAGGCGTGTGCGGGCGCGCCGCGCTCACCTTCCTCTTGGGCATCTTGGCGGGGAGGGCGCGTGCCGGGTGCCTGCGGGCCGCGCGCGCCGGAGCCTTCGCGGAGCTGGGCTGTCTGGCCGCTGCCGTCGCTCCCGCCGCCCGAGCTGCTGAGACCCGCGGGGGCGGTGGGAGAACCGGATGGAACCGGATTGGGAGCCCGCCTCCTGCTCCCCCCGCGTCCCCCGGCCGCGGGCTCTCCCTCCCCGCCGGCCGGGCCGCCCCCCGCCCCCGCCCATTGGCTGCGGGGCCCACCCCGCCGCGGCCCGCGTCCGGAATAGGTGAGGCGGGCCGTCACTCGACCCCGCCGCCCCGCCCCCGCGCCTGGGCGCCCCCACCTCCCCGCGTCTCGCGGGGCCCCAGCCTCGGCAGAGGGGGGCGGGGCCCCAGAGGCCGCTCCGGGCTCACGGTAGTTTGAAGCCGAGCCGCAAAGTGCGGTCTGCGCGCCGATTGGCGGAAGCTCGCCACGTGAGCGCGCTTCCCCACCCACAATCCTCCTGGATACCTGGGCGCCCGCACGCGCCCTGAAAGCCGCGAGCGTCTGGCCCTCCCCGACCCCTCTGGTGAACTGGGTTCGAACGTTTGCAGTCATTCTCCTCGGTTGGGGACGGAGAGGGACAGGGGGTGTGAGAACGAGCAGGGTCTTTTCCCACCTCAGTCGGCAAGAAAGGTTATCTAGGGTTCCCGGCTTCGCAGGCCCTCGAGCAGCGGGGCCCAGTGCGCAGGCGCCGCGGGGGAGGTCGTGGGAAGGAAAGCCGGGGCGGGCTCGGCGCGCGCGCCCTGGAGAGCAGGCGCGGGGCTCACCCCGGTCCGCTGCGGGGGCTCCCCAGGCGAGGGCTCGGCTGCGAGGTCACTGCAGTCTGCCCCTTCCGTGTAACTTGCTTTAGGTTCCTTGAGGGGCTGCAGGTGCGGGAGGTCGTTCCTGGGCCCGCAGCGGGGCGGCTGAGAGGGTGGCGCACCTGAGAACCGTCCCGGCCGTCTCCCGCACGCCCCTCGCGGGCCCCGGGCCTGCCGTAGGGTGTGCGAGAAGCACGCCCGTCAGGCGCCGCCTGCCCTTTTTAAACCTGTTGCTCCTCTAAGCACCTTTTTATGGTGGAAGAGGGCCTCAGGCTGGAGCTGGCAGCCCTGGAGCCAGTGAGATCGCACGTTACCCTGTTCTTTAAGGAAGGAGAAATTTAAGTTTAAAAGGCCGAAATGAATTGGGTTATCTTAGAAAAAGGTTTTAATCGGGAAAATGTCAGCTGTAATTTGGGGAGAGGAAGAAACGTAGAAGTGCTTTGAGTCTAAAACTGGAGGCGGGCTTAATTGTCCACCATTTACGACAGCAGGTAAAGAAAGTATGGCCCCTTCACAGTGAAATACTGAGCAACTTCGAGAAAGGATGAGGCAGCTCTACTGATGGAGTGAAGTTTTAAAATCACAAGTCAGGCAGTGTGACTCCTAATCAAAAACTCTATAATATAGAGTCTTCTCATTCAAAAAGGCTGGGTGAATTAATGGAAGACTGTCAGCAATGAAAATGACCCATATGCAGCTACATACAACAATATGGATGAATCTCACAAGCATACTGTTGAGAGAAAGATGCCAGACCCCAAAGTGCACATACTATGTGATTCTATTCGTCCAGTGTACAAAAGTAGGCAAAACTAATACAGTCTGTCAAAAAATCACGGTAGTGGTTTCTAGTTGTGGATAGGGTGGTGAACTAGTGACTGGAGGAGAGAGCAATGGAAAAATTGGTGGGGGTGAGGGGATTGGGGATAGTCATGTTCTGTTTCTTTATTTCTTTTTTTTTTCTTTTAGAGGCAAAGTCTCCCTAGTCTCTGAGGCTAGAGTACAGGGGCATCAGCATAGCTCACTGCAACCTCAAACTCCTGGGCTCAAGCAATCCTGCTTCAGGCTGCAGAGGAACTGGGACTATAGGCAAGCCACCACTCCCAGCTAATTTTTCAATAGAGATGGCTCTTGCTCTTGCTCAGGCTGTTCTTGAACTTCAAGTGATCCTCTTGCCTCAGCCTCCCAGAGTGTTGGGGATTACAGGCATGAGCCACTGTGCCTAGATGTGTTCTTTTTCTTATTCTGGGTGTTGGTTGTACTCTTGTGTTCACTGTGTGAATATTAATTGAGCTGTGCACCTGCGAATGCATTTCTGAATGTATATTATCAATAAAGTGTTTTTTTAATACATCTCAAAGAGGATTTTACATACAAACTGAGCTCTTTAGCTCTTGGCATCCTGTTTGCATGCGTTCTACAGGCTGTGCTTGACCTATCTCTTGCAGGGAGGCATCCTTTCTCCAGTGTGGCAGGATTATACCCCTGCTGATTTTACTCCTTTGTGTTTCCTGCCTAGCTTCTGAAGGAATTTTATGCCTTTAAATAAGTATATTGTATATTTTCACTTACTTTTGGAAAGTATATTGTTTGGTTCAAAATTTCAAAGGTAGAAAAAGATTTCCAGAGAAGTATCCCTTCCACTCTGCCCCCCTGTCTCTCTACTCCCAAGAAGAAACCAATGTTGCTGCCTCTTGTGTATCTTTCCAGAGTATTCTACACATGTACAAGAAAATCTATATGTATTTTTTCTTCCCCATCATTTTTTACACTATTGGGCTCCCTTGCATTTTTCAATAGTTGTGGTTTCCTTTCCCACAAGTCCTTAAGAAAAATTCTTCCTTCTTTTTTTTTTTTGAGACAGGGTGCAATGGCCCAATCTTAGCTCACTGCAATCTTGTACTCCTGGGCTCAAGTAATCCTCTTGCCTCAGCTTCCTAAGTAGCTAGGACTATAGGTGCATGTTACCATGCCTAGCTAATTTTTTACTTTTTTGATAATTTGTAGAGATGCGGTCTCACTATATTGCCCAAGCTGGTCTCTAACTCCTGGCCTCAGGTGATCCTCCTGCCTCAGCCTCCGAAAGTATGGGATTATGGGCATAAGCCGCTGTGTGTGGCCTCTTCCTTATTTTTATTACTGCATTGTATTCCACTTTATAGATGTAACAAGCATTTTTTAAATTGTGATAAAGTACATATAACAAAATTTACCATCTTAACCATTTTTAGTGTAAAGAAAAAAGAATGAAAAAGAGGGAAAAAATATAAGGAACTTATTGGACACCATCAATCAGACCAGTATCTGCATTATGGGACTCTAAGAAGGAGCAGAAAGAGAAAGAGACAGAAAACTTACTTAAATAATGACAGAAAAATTCCCAAATCTGGAGAGAGAAATGAGCATCCAGCTCCCTGAAGCCCAAATAACTCAAAATACTTGAGCATAAAGAAGTTCTCACTAAGTTACATTACAATCAGATTGTCAAAAGTCAATCATAAAGAGAATTTTGAAAGCAACGAGAGAAAAATGACTCATCACATACAAGGGAACTTTTGTGAGACTATAAGTGAGTTTTTCTGCAGAAACCTTGCAGGCCAGGAGAGAGTGGGAGGATATGTTCAAAGTGCAGGGGAAAAAAAAACCTGGGCCAGCCAAGAACACCAAACCTGGCAAAGCTGTCCTTCAGAAATTGCCGAGAGATAAGACTCCCAGACAGATAAAAGCTGAGGGTGTTCATCACCACAAGACCTGCTTTACAAGAAATGCTAAAGGGAGTTCTTCAAGTTGAAATGAAAGGATGCTAATTAGCACCATGAAAACATCTGAAGGTGTAAAACTCACTTGTAAGTATATAGTCAAATTTAGAATACTCTAATGCTGTAATAGTGGTATATAATTATAACTAGTATAAAATTTAAAAGACAAAAGTGTTAAAAATAATTATAACTACAAGAATTTGTTAATGATTATACAATGTAGAAGATATAAATTGTGATGTCAATAAAAGTGGGAGGGGAGAAGTAAAAGTATAGAGTTTTTATATGTAATTGAAATTAAGTTATAAGCATAGATGATTGTATAACTGTAAGATATTTTATGTAAGCCTCATGATAATCACAAATAAAAACCTTGTAATAGATATACAAAAGACAAAGAGAAAGAAATCCAAACATACCACTATGAAAATCATAACATCGAAAAGATTGTAGCGGTTGGTCCGAGTGCAGTGGCATTTACAACTAATTGATCACAACCAGTTACAGATTCCTTTGTTCCTTCTCCACTCCCACTGCTCCACTTGACCAGCCTTTAAAAAAAACAAATGTAAAAAATTATATATATATATAAAAGGTTGTAGCAAGGGAGAAAGAAAGGAACTACAAAACAGAAAACAACAAAATGGCAGTACATATTCTTATATATCAATAATTACTTTCAATGAAAATAAATGAAATTCTCCAATTAAAAAACATACAGTTGCAGTTGGCTGGGCGTGGTGGCTCACGGCTGTAATCCTAGCACTCTGGGAGGCTGAGGTGAAAGGATTGCTTGAGGTCTGGAGTTCGAGACCAGCCTGAGCAAGAGCGAGACCCCATCTCTACTAAAAATAGAAAGAAATTAACTGGATAACTAAAAATATATAGAAAAAATTAGCCAGGCGTGGTGGCGCATGCCTGTAGTCCCAGTTACTCAGGAGGCTGAGGCAGGAGGATTGCTTGAGCCCAAGAGTTTGAGGTTGCTGTGAGCTAGGCTGACGCCAAGGCACTCTAGCCCAGGCAACAGAGTGAGACTCTGTGTCAAAAAAAAACACATAAGAGCCAGGTGCAGAAACACATATCTATAATCTCAGATACTCATGAGGCTGAGGTGGGTAGGATCATTTGAAGCCAGAAGTTTGAGGCTGTAGTATGCTATGATCACTCCAGAATAGCCACTACATTTCAGCCTGGGCAGCATAGTTAAAAAAAAAAGATAGAATGATGGATGAAAAAACAAGATCCAACTATATGAAACTATATGATACCTACAAGAGACTCACTTTAGATTTAAGGACATACAGGGATCCAGACCAACTGGGTACAAGCCCGTGGCTGCTTCCCCGGCAAAAATAATTTTCTAAATTAAAAAAAAAAAATTTAAGGTCACACAAAGGCTGAAAGTGAAGGATGGAAAAAGGTATTCCATGAAAATGGTAATTAACCACTTCAGTACTGTGCTCACCAGCTGCGAAGCCTCGCCCACAGCCGGCACTCAGGGTCTGCACGATAGTTTGTGCTGTGCATTGACGACGAGTCCGGTTTTGCTCTTGTGTGATGAGGAAAGCTTTAAAGAACTGAAAGCTTGTTTTACTTTACAGGCAGCTTTACTTGTAATGTTAATCAGAATAGGTAACATATAC